GAGAAGGTGCTCATCGAAAGTCACACCTCGCTCGATCCGTTACTCGCTAACTCGAATCGTAAGTCGTAATCGAAAGTACGCGTACTCGAACTCGTAACTTCACACGTGGTGGCACTGCTCTGCCGAGGTCCCTGGCCTATACCAATATACAGGAATAGGGCGGGGACACGCAAACGGTACGGCGTCGGAAGCCAATAAAATAGTGCCGCGGCTTTTGTTGATAGGCGAGCCCCGGGGATTGCGAAGGCCACCCTTTAGGGGGGGGGAGGGGGGTCCTGGGGGCATGCGCCTCCACGTGAAATTTTGAAATATACAAGGCAAATGAGTGGGCTCTTTGGTGCATTCTGTCTGAGCATTGTGAATTTTTGCACAAAAAAAGTGTTTCCACTGTAATTTTAGAAAAATACTGATGATTTTAAAAGATGGTTGCTTAACTCCAACATTAATTTTTCTTCACTTTAACAGGTGGCAATAAATCTTTGGTAAAAACTTTCCTGAAATACATTCCCTTCAAGACATGATACAATTGTACTGGTGCTCACAAACGACACTGTTAATATTCGTTCATTTGAAACGCGCTGCACCCTGAGCAAAGCATGCTCCCTCAATATTACGCAGCATTACGCTTATATTAACGCCAACGGCACATGCTGCCTGCATAGAATCAGGATGTAGATGGCGAGCAGAATGTCGCCAGGGAGTTCTGGATTATAAAATTTTATAGCTACAGGTGACCTGCAGGGGGCGGTGTACAGATTTTGGTGACAGGGGGGGGGGGTCTAACCGTAATGAATACCCAGCTAACAAAGTTATTTCCTGTATGTTATGAGTTCTTTTTTAGGTTAACATTATTCAGTAACGTTCTAATAACGTGTTTTAGGAAAGTTTTCCTGACATTCTGAGAACGTTTTTGCACGCGAAGGGGGGGACTGGGGGGCCCTCCCCCAGAAATTTTTTGAAATAAGACCCCCTCAGATGCGTTTTCTGCGTGGGCAGGAGGGGGTCCGGACCCCCTAGACCCACCCCTGTACACGACCCTGACCTGACCTCATCTGACCCTGGTCTCTGCTTATAGGGGCCTAGATTACACGTATATACATGATATATGTACCGGCCAAAAGACGGTATAAATTATTGAAAGATATTGGTTACGGAAAATTTATGGCCTGAAAAAAGTGCCGCGGCGGTCGCCGCGGCTGCCGCGGCAGTTCCGACGCCCTTGGGTATGCCATAGGTACGCGCAGGAATGCCATAGGTACGTGCAGGTACGCCCAGGTACGCCTCAGGTACGTGCAGGTACGCGCAGGTACGCCTCAGGTACGCGCAGGTATGCCTCAGGTACGTGCAGGTACGCCATAGGTACGCGCAGGTACGCCTCAGGTACGTGCAGGTACGCGTAGGTACGCCTTAGGTACGCGCAGGTACGCCTCAGGTACGTGCAGGTACGCCATAGGTACGCGTAGGTACGCCTCAGGTACGTGCAGGTACGCGTAGGTACGCCTCAGGTACGTGCAGGTACTCCATAGGTACGCCTCAGGTACGCGTAGGTACGCGCAGGTATGCCGTAGGTACGCGCAGGTATGCCGTAGGTACGCGCAGGTATGCCGTAGGTACGCGCAGGTATGCCATAGGTACGCCTCAGGTACGCGTAGGTATGCCATAGGTACGCGCAGGTACGCCTCAGGTACGTGCAGGTACGCGTAGGTACGCGCAGGTATGCCGCAGGTACGCGTAGGTATGCCTCAGGTACGTGCAGGTACGCGTAGGTATGCCATAGGTACGCGCAGGTACGCCTCAGGTACGCGTAGGTACAGGTATGCCGTAGGTACGCGCAGGTATGCCATAGGTATGCGCAGGTACACGTAGGTACGCCTCAGGTACGTGCAGGTACGCGCAGGTATGCCATAGGTATGCGCAGGTACGTGCAAGTACGCGCAGGTACGCCGTAGGTACGTGTAGGTACGCCTCAGGTACGGTGCAGGTACGCCATAAGGTAACGCCGTAGCGTCGCCTCAGGTACGTGCGAGTACGCGTAGGTGACCGCCTCAGGTACGGTAGCAGGATACGCGTAGGTATGCCAAGGTTACGCGTAGGATTACGCCCTTTCAGGTACGTGCACGTTACGCCTCAGGCTACGTGCAGGTACGTGCAGGTACTTTCGTAGGTACGCCTCAGGTACGCGTAGGTACGTGCAGGTACGCCATAGGTACGCCCAGGTACGCGTAGGTACGCGCAGGTATGCCATAGGTACGCGCAGGAATGCCATAGGTACGCCGTAGGTACGCGCAGGTATGCCATAGGTACGCGCAGGTACGCCGCAGCGCATTTTTTCCGACGCTGATGAGAATGGACGATGGCAATTGGCCTAGACCAAGGAGAGTGACATCTGGTGGCTGCTGCCAGCAGAACTCTTAGCATCTGTGCAAAGCTAACCAAGGGACTCTAACATGGAAGTGCCCACCATGTCCCTTCAGACGATTCAGGATAAACTCCGCCCCTAACGAAATGTACCTGCATGGTCACTGGCAAACATGTGCCACTAGTAATTTTACATCACGTGTCCTGTAATTGTACTGGTGCGATCACAGACAACAGTAAAGTGTGAAAATAATTCGGCTTATCAAATGAAAAACCAGAAGGCATTACTTTCTATTGCCTAACACACAACAAGGGAGTAAAAGTGGTTTGCTGAAATTCTAAAGCAACTCCAAATAAGCACGTGCAGCAAAAAAACCACACCCAGAAAGCAATAGGCACCATAGATATTAGCAGCACAAAACAAAGCATCCAGGCTGCTGCAGCAGTAGCTGCTGGAGCTAGTTTAGGCACATCACCTAGTGTCAACCCTGCAGGATCAAAGGTGTGACTATTCAGTGATATATCTAGCGCAGTGGTTTCAACACTAAGGTACAACCCCAAAATTTGTCACCAACCCACTTTAGAACTGTGATTCCACAGATCATCCTAACTTTTTATCTTTATCTGATAATATCACCATACGGTGGCTGCACCATAGAGGGGATGCCATATTAGCGATACGACTAAAATTTGGTTGCGAGCCCATATACGTTAGAAACCACTGATCTAGAATATAGTCTGTAGCAATAGTTGTGAACGCTTGAGTAGACAGTGCCATCTAGTGCATAGCCTGTAATGTTAGCAAAGCTGCAGACAATGATGCCACACATCAGGTAGTCTATCAGGCAGGATCAAAAGCCTCCAGCAGCCAGTTCCACCTATGGTTTAGCCTGCAAGGTTAGCAGTTGAAGAAGCACCAGTCACTATAGCAGGTGATCTGTGCAGGGAGTTGTGCTGTTTTCGTGTTACGCCTATACACCACCACAATGTCACAATACGATAAATCTGCGTTTACATCAACGTTTACATGCGATATCACTATTCGCTCTAAAGAGACAAGTGCTACTGAATAAAAACGAAAAGATGTATAGACAACTGGCCACGACACACCGTTCACCTTTACGAAAGGAAGCAGTATCATCATGCTATGTGGTTAGTCGAACATCACGGAAGCAGGTTCACACGTTATTATGACCGGCAGCATATTTATTAAGCTCTAGTTCTCGTTTGAAGCCATTTCCGCCAACACTGACTACTGGTCAGGCAACTATATTAATAGCGCTGCGATTTTCTAAATGAAAAACAAAAAACTGATACGACGGGAATCATAAGCTTTGGCGTTAGAAGCTCATAAGAAAATCGAGCGCAAGGAGACAAAAGACCGGCTTACCGGTCCACGTAATAATCTTCCGTTAATTCTCGGCTGAAGAATGCAGAGAGAGGGATTAATGGCAAGTTCGGGCGCGCGAGCACGCGTGACGCGCTGCAGGTCACGTAACGCGCTGCATGAACTGTAAGTGTAGAGCTTCCGCGAACACATTTACGGTCAATAACGATCGAAGATGTCAACGAGGCAGGTCAACGACAGATGCCAGGGAAACGAGACAAGGGCTGTGTAGAGCGATTTTTTATGCAAATAAAACTGCACATAAAAATGTACTTCACGTAAGACATTACTGAGTATTTCGTGGGTTTACAGCCAGACACAAACAAACGACAAATCAATAGGCTTACTGGGAAATTAAAGGCATATCTATCGTAGAAAGCTGGCATTCCAAGCAACAGCAATATACGTTCTAGCATGTAAGGAAAAATAGCGATACTACAGCTCAGCACTGCTGCAAACATACAGACGTAGCAAATGACAGATATGCAAACAAGGCATGTCAGCTAAAAGACATGGGCTTGCCTCCATGTGGCAGCAGTGTATCTTATTCGCTGATGCTTCAAACTACAGTCAACCCTATGTTAGCAGTTACCACCAGAGATAATACCAGTCAATAAAGGACACTTTTTGAGTTAGCCTGATGTACAGGTTTTAACGATATTTGTAATCTCTAAACAAAACTCGTGATTTCACTTATTAGGAGCGGTTAACATGGTCGCGGAAAGACATGCCATAAATCATGCTGATGTATGATATGTCAAAGGGAGTCCACAACCATTGAGGACGGCTGAGGTTGCTGGCAAGGAATGTGACATTCATGGCAAAGCTGCTTCACACACTTGCGTAGCACCATGCGGTGCCCGAATTTGTTGATGCCGCGTAATCAAACGACACAGAAAACTCATGATAAAGCTGGAAATGTCGCACTCACACTGATTCACGAGTAGTGCAACCGAGTTTCGATTAGCAGTTGATATCTGGGGTGATTACTATAGGTATGCACAGACACATACACGTGTGTACATACACGTACACATACAGAAATGCACCTACACATTTAGAAACACAAAACACGTACAACCCCACAAACCCGTGAATGCACACGTCTCCAAACACGAACATCAACAGACATTATCAAACACATTTACCTTACACACTCAAATAAATCCTCATTTACAGCACTAGACACACATGTACACGCATACACACGTGTGCGCACTCTCACGCCAAGATACACCCACACATAATGCCTTACATTTCAAGAACAGCCTTCAATTGCTCCAGGTTGGACTTCTTTTCCTCAATGTCTGGTTCACTCTTGTGTCTGATCTCGTCAAGCAGATATCGAGCCACGTCCAGTATTTCCTAGGTGATAGACTATAGGTCAGAGCATGTCCGTCTTTCCAAACAAAATGCAAGCTTATTGCAAAACTTAATTTTGAAGCAATCACACAAAACAGAGATGCACACACATGCACAGACATAGGCACGCATGCACTCACGCATTGCTTCTGGGAAGTGTCAATTTCAACATAATCAAATTAGTTACGTATAATCAAAGAACTATGCACGTGTTCTCAAACAGTATGCTAAACATTACACATGTCATCACTACCCTTATAGCTAATCAGGATCAAAACAACAAGCTACTCAAATCTACCTGTGGAAGTGCATTAAGACCTGTACCCAGTAAGGACCACACAGGGGCCCATTGTTAGAAAAATGAAGCGGTTCATGAGAAGTGAACGTTAAGACTAATGCTAAGACCAATTTTGTGTCTGACAACCCGCCCCCAGAGTGCTGGCATCCGTCACACAATCTCTCTGCTTCATCAGGAGCTGTACCTGTAGCTGCTTTGGCTTCTTCAGCTTCAGCTGCCCGTTCTTGAAGCCGCCGTACTTCTGGAAGATGTGGAAAAACTTGCCATGCTTCACCTCCATCTTCATCTTCTGCTTCGGCGTACGGTCGCCATGGCGAATAACGGCAATCACGCACCGCAGCTCCATCCTGTACAGACGCACACATACACGCGCATTCAATCATAACCGAACAAAACACGAAAGGGTAACGAAAAAACGCACGAGCACTAAATTTAATAAGTGAAAGAATACGATTGATCAGTCCAGATACGCTATGATTGGTACTAATATGCAGATCATTTCCAGTGATGTTTCTCTCTTACCCCAGTATACATTACATAACTAGGTTAGTAATATAAGCCATACTGCATCGCCAAATATCTGTCTGTATCTTTAACCTCACACTTGTACCATCAGTGATCCTTGTTACCATCACGTTACTGTTGACATTGCGTAAAATGAAATGCACAATACATATGTACTTTTTGAAATAAAGGTCATTATAAAAAATAAGTGAAAGAATCGAGTAAGCATGACAAAACGTAGTCGATGCGAACTGCAGGCACTGGGAAACAGACCCACGACTCCAGCTTCCAGCATCTTCCGTTTTCCTACCCGAATATCGGCAAAACCCCTCCCCCAATGATGACACCAACGCACGCGCGTCCAAACATTAATGCACAAACGACGGCTGCTGAAAAACCACTCTACAGCTCAAGCTCCCCTCTCCTCTCCTCCCCCCCCCCCCCCGCAACAAAGATTCCGGGAAACTGCCGTATGGTTCAAGCTTTCATTCTCCTTCCTAGTTTTCCCTAACCGCCCCACTTCTCCTCTCCACCCCTCTCCTCTTCCTCTCCACCCCGCCCCTCTCCTCTCCCACCCCTCTCCTCTCCTCTACCCCTCTAGTCTCCCACCCCGACAGCCACGCACATGCGTCCAAAGGTCGTCGGCACGAAGGGCGGGTCCTCGAGCTGGTGCGGTATCTTCCACGGGATGTCGAGCTGTGGTGCGAGCTTGCGCAGGATCACGTTGCCCAGCAGGTACGCGCAGTCATCGTAGTACTTCACCGAGTTCTTCACGAAGCTGAAGCCGTTCACGTCGCACACGTACGCCTTGCCGTCGGCACGCAGCAGGTCGAAGCCGCACACCATTTGCTGCGCGGGAGACAGACGAGCGCGCGGCGTGAGTGGCAAGTTTTTTTATTTTTAATAACTTTATTTTTTATTATTTTAGTATTTATTTTTTCATTTATCATTATTTTTCTTTATTATATTGTTTATTAAATATGATCTTATATTTGCTTGTTTGTTTACTTTTTACAAAATAGTTGTTAAGAAATAATGTTGAACAGTATTGTAACATCACAGGTTTTCTGAATGCATTAGCATTGACTGATAGCATAGATAGATGATCATGACTGTAAATTAGAAAAGTGGCAGCAGACATCATTATTTTTACATTGATAATACGCTTATTATTACACATACTTTAATCAATGAATATACTGTCTGTGAAATAAAAATCTGTTAAATGAGGCTTCAGTTAATTGATGTGTGACAGCACATTATCACATACGTACGCCTACGAAAATGTTTATTCCAACACGTCGCATGCACCACCCCTGTATACATGTATCTGTGCTACGAATATTATGAGGCATTTCTCGCTACGCGCATACCTTGAATGCCAAGCAGACCTTCCTGGCGATGAATTTCTCCTCGTTGCCGAGGATAACGGGATACCTGACCTCTTTACCCTCGCTGTCTCGCTCCACCTTGCCATCCAGGGCAGGAGACTTCCTCGCCTCGGCGTGTGCATACTCCGGACCCACCGTATACACCTGCAATTCATTCACAACAACGTGTGAGCAGCAGCAGACCAGACAAAACTACAGACTCAAGTAGTCTCAGGCTATGCTTGGGGCAATCAACCACACGTGGCAACGTAAAACCGAGCCTCACTGAGCCAAATAACATATTACACGACTATAGTTATAGGTTTTGCACATTTTTTCACGTGCAATCAAAATGACATTCTAGACTTATGATGCTGTGTCATCCAAGATGACTCTAACAATGGGTCAATGGTAGGTTTTTTATTAGCCCATAAAGCCATGTGATGCTTGCTACACTGCATTGCTAGTGTTTCATTGACCAAATGTCAACTCACACAACCAGGTATAGAAGCTTAGGTCAACGTGGACTAATTATAATAAACAATGCAGAGTGATTCTACCATTGATACATAGTCATAGTGAGTTACCACACTTGCCTTGACATCCGTGCCATCTGTTGGCATGAAATCTTCGTAAATATAAGAGCCCGTTTTCCGAACCTTGATCTCAGGTGAGTAGACGCTGCTGCGACTGCCAACCTATGTATCGAGTAATATGTAGTCAAGTTATGATATGATGATGTTGCCACGCTCATTAGGAGGTGCCACAGTACCTTCATCGGTCATCAAGCTGTAACAGTTTTTCTAAGTAACAATTTATAGCCGTTTAATTACATTCTGAAAATGTGAAAAATGGCTAGACTGCTTAAGGGTGAAAAATCATTTTTTAACCTCGTTTCATAGAGCAAAGAATTTGGGTGATTAAAAAACAAAAAATTCTCTTTGGGTATGTCAGATCATGAACCGAAAAAAACAACAGAAATATTCCATCCATGACCCATATGACTTGAACGTTGCACTCTCCTGCTTGATCTGGAAATTTTGACATTATAACCCCATACACAGACTACGAGAATATACCAAGAAATCTTGGTTTTTGATATATCATATAACATAGATACAACCTTCGCCAATTTCAAGGAAGCAAAGTCCTCAAGGAAAGGCGAAGGAACGAAAGGCAGAATATATAAAGATTAAAACCAACACACACTTTTCTAAATAAACGCTGGCTGCCACCACCAGCCGATGTAGGATAGTATATGTAGATGTTGTGGTCTTCTGCATTGACTGGCTTCTCTACAAACGGTTTGTTGAATATGACGCCATTGACTTCTATATGGTCATCTCCCTCCACGAGTGTGCATTCTGCTGATGAAAAGAGATGCGGTTTATGCTAAACAGCTAGAAATTCAATGTTCTAGCTACAATAAAATTCTATCCAACAAAAACACTGAATGCTGCTAGACAATTTCAATTTTATTCCTCCCACTCATATTGGAACATAGACTGTATCTAAATGCTTTTAAAGGGATTCTTGCGTAAGTTTTGTTATCTGTCCATGGAGATAAACTGCAAATAATGGGTCTGTGAGATTGATTTTATATTACAAGTGACTCACCATGAGGATTGTCAGAGTCTCGGTCCAATACCGCGTACCTAGGTAACTCAATCCCTTGACTTGCCAGCGTCTTATAAACTATTCGCCTAAATCAAATGCATGCAGAAGAAGAGGTTATTGCAAAATGGCAAAATTACAAAATCTTCTAGCCAAGGTCACTGTTGGAAATCTACACACACTTACATTTCCTACTTACACCTACATTAAACTGTTTAACAAGCACTAACAGACATACCTATCTGTCTTGCCTCTTTCTACATCTTACGGTCAAATATAAGGCTACCTCCCACCTCACCCTAACTCCTACACTCATATAAAAGGCTACACACCACCTCCACCCTAACTCCTACGTCATATCATAACCTATCCTCCACACCTCACCCTAATCCCTACAGTGCATATATAAGCCTACCACCCACCTCACCCTAAACTCCTACACTCACATATAAGCCTACCTCCCACCTCACCCTAACTCCTACAGTCATATATAAGCCTACCACCCACCTCACCATAACTCCTACGACTCAAATATAGTCTTACCACCCACCTCACCATAACTCCTACAGTCATATATAAGCCTACCACCCACCTCACCATAACTCCTACAGTCATATATAAGCCTACCACCCACCTCACCATAACTCCTACAGTCATATATAAGCCTACCACCCACTTCACCATAACTCCTACACTCACATATAAGCCTACCTCCCACCTCACCCTAACTCCTACAGTCATATATAAGCCTACCACCCACCTCACCCTAACTCCTACACTCACATATAAGCCTACCTCCCACCTCACCCTAACTCCTACAGTCATATATAAGCCTACCTCCCACCTCACCCTAACTCCTACAGTCATATATAATCCTACCTCCTACATCACCATAATTCTACAAGTTTTTACACTGTTGTTACCTATCCTGCAGGGTGAATTGTGCTCTAATGTCATTGATTAGGAAGGGCATTCTCAGCTCTGCATACTCCTGTGCCTTTCTCAGCGGGAAGTCTTGGGAGTGGAAAGATATGAGGCATTCGCACACTGGCCATTTCTCCACTGGCTCCTGCAGGATTTGATCCTCATCAAATATCAGTGTCTGGAAAATGTTAGTGTAACAAGGGATCATAATGTGTAACATCAATACACTGAGTGAGATAACTGCAACAAAATAAAATAACATGCATGTCAATACCATGTTGAGTACTGTAGACACACAACTAATCTAATATCTTGAGCTACCAATTCCACACATTTACACATTCCACACACAATTCTACACATTTCATACATTTACTGATGACGTCAGATACATGATACAACCACCCCCCTTGATATCTAATTGATATCGATCCACCCCACCCCCTTTATATCTCTTTTATATCACGACATTAATGACATTAAAGTTGGGAACGCTCCTAATGGAGCATCACCCATTCATTACGCCAGAATCTATCAGCCTCAACCCTCCTACAGCTGTTATCTGCCAGGGAGAGTTGAATTTCCGACCGCATGGTCGAAAATAGCATTAACACCTCGCTACATAGCTCGGGTTTGGTAACACGTTGCGTAGTGACTTCATGCAGTACGCAGCATGTGCACTTTTCGGATCGAAGCGATAGTGGTACCTTCGTAATTTCTCACAATTTCTCAAGGTGCATAAAAGATTTGATATGACCAATTGAGTGGTTTCAGTTAGCCATGAATATGTTGCAGTAAGTACTAACAGCAGATGTTTAACATACGTTTTAACCATTTTGCACACAGGCAGTCGATCATTGTGAAAAGTAGAAAAATGCTGATTTCTCCGTTTCGATTTCTGCCACAGTAACCAATGGTTATACATACATGACATGATAGCATGATATCAGCATGGTTCATACATACATGACATGATAGCATGATATCAGCATGGTTCATACATACATGACATGATAGCATGATATCAGCATGGTAGATACCCACATATGACATGATAACATGACACAGTAGGTAGACATGCACACATACCATGACAACATGATATCAGCATGGTAGACATGCACACATACCATGACAACATGATATCAGCATGGTAGACATGCACACATACCATGACAACATGATGTCAGCATGGTGAACATTTACACATGGCATGATAACAGCATGATATATATGTATACGCCTAGTGAGAGCCCGAAACAGGCATTACACAGAATAATAATGTAGTACAAATATCTATCGCTATAAAGTTCATAGATCATCTTTTGTTCAAATTCTTTAGTCTTCGTTCACTTTTTCTTTCATACTGTTTGATTACCTCCGCGCAACGGAGTTGCAACGGAGGTCATGTAATCGGTCTTGTGTGTGTGTGTAGCCACCGCGCGATCAATAGCGCGTCGAGTCAGCGAGGTCAGCGAGTGGCGAGTCAGCAGCAGCCACCAGTGAG